CCCAGCTTTTCTCTAACATTTTCAATACAAACCACCCTGCCCTACAATCAGATGTGATTTCCTTACAAAATACTACACTTCATAACAGAACGTTAGCCATTCTTCAAGTTTTCAACAAAACTTCTTGCAACCAAGTGATTCTAATGAGAGTTATTAAAACCTTAGCAACGTAAAATCTTACGGTTCTAAAGGAGTACAGTGCAATATTTTTCAAGAATATCATAAAGATTTTTCTCTACCCCAGGTATGTTAAGGCTATCCCTTCTTTATTTTTGGCATGATCCGTACGATTCAAACGAAACGAGCAAATGCACAACTTCCATAAATGACTCTATTCATAGAAGTATTAGAAGTGACTATATTCTTGAATTCCCATGTATCTTATTATTCTATCATTTGTTCATGGGTCTCAGAAAATACATAAGTTGATAAAGTTTATTTCATGATATTAATCAAAGGCATAGTGGTCTTATAACACTCCGAAAGATTTTATTGACTTATTTATCATGCATTGCATTCATTTATATTGACCCATGACCAGATAGCGTTATATACATGTATATGGGATATGGAAAAAAGTTACGGCGTTATATATGCACCACCACCTTATCAACTGGTATACGTTGATGATTTGCCCATAATGGCCGAGATGATATGATGAGATGCCCCCAGAGGCTTGATGATGTTATGAACGCATATACCCATGCATGATATGACTTTTATATGTATATGCATGACGTTTTAAATATTAAAAGATTCATAAAGTTGTTCAGACTTACATGTCGAGTCTTTTACTCCATGTTTTATGTCTATTATTTACTGATTTTCATTCCTTACATACTCGGTACATTATTTGTACTGACGTCCCTTTTGCCTGGGGACACTGCGTTTCATGCCCGCAGGTCCCGATAGACAGGTCGAGAGCCCTCCAAGTAAGCTATCAGCTGAGCGGAAGATGTTGGTGGGCTCCATTTGTTTCGGAGTTACTTGTTTGGTTAGTATGATTTAAACGTATTTTGTTTGGTATGGCGGGACTCTATCCCGACCTTTATGAAAATTATGTATTCTTAGAGGCTTGTAGACAGATGTCATGTACGTAAAAGATTATATGGGCTTGTCGGCCTACGTTCAGTATACGAGTGGTTATTTTGGCCTTATAGGCCCGTATGTCTTATGTATAAGTTGGTATCACATGTTGTATTCTACTTATCTCACGGTAGCCTTCCGACTCAGTTATCTATGATAGTATGACATGAAAAGATACGTTATGTAGGTACTCTATTTAGTAAAGTAATAGGTGCCCATCATGACCCGTCAGTTTGGGTCGTGACAGAAGTAGTGCACTCTTTGACTTTCTTTTTCGTCTTCCTTTTACGTGGCTTTCCATTTTATCCTTAACTTTGCCGTTTTTCTTTCTTCAATTCATTTAGTTTATCGTGGTACAACAAGAAAATATATTCAATTTACCACCACCAAATTTGACAGTCTATATTGGGGTATGGAATTCTCAGAATGATGATAATATTCATGAAAATATGAATATTCATATTTTTCGTCATTCAATCTATATTTTATCCGTTTTAAATATGAGTGATTCGAAAATTTTATCCGTATTGTCTAACACGTATTCAATCTATCCATATCAATCCGACTCCTCCCATCATTTGCTAGCACTATTTAATGTTGAGCACCCATTACCTTAAAATGCTGGATCTTCCATTATTATTAAGATTATATAGTTTGATTTGATGTAAGAAACTAATGCGAGTAAATATTTACCAACTTTGAAATATAAAGAAAAAGAGGGGCACAAGGGGAAGAGGGAGGCCAAACTGACATGGACTTTACTCCTTTATGCAATTGGCTGATCAAGATGCGGAAAACAAACTTCTCCCACGCACTCCGATTTTTCAATGAAAAGTACTATTTACTGTAGTATTTTATGATTATGTTTGTATCAAATAAATGAATGTAATTATGTAAAATAAGTGTTATATATATATATATATATATATAAATTTCTCTATATTATAAATAAACTATATTATGTATTTTAATTTTATTTGTGAGTTTTAAAATTAATTAATTACTTTAGTTTCGTGCAAACACCAAGTATGGTTAACCTAGCTTAACAGGCCCAACACAATCAACAACTGCACTGTCCAACAGTGTCAACAAAGCAGCCCATCAAGCCAATCTTATGTACATAGCTTTTATCAATTTTTTTATTTCATTTATTTTTATTTTTGGGACTTCAAATATATTGATGTATTTTGGAAATGAGTCATTAGAACATTCTAGACAAAAGTAATAAAGGGGTTCTTCTTTCTCTCTCTAAACGATTTCGGAACTCTAGAGTTCCATCTTCTTTCATCTTCATGCAATGAATTCTGGTAATGTTAACATGGTATCAGTGCATGGTTTCGGTATCAGCTCACCTTCATCTTCACTTCGACGTCACCCTTGACTGGAGTTTTCATCTTTTTGTTTGGTTTGTTGAAATCGAGGTTTTCGTCTGAGGTAAGATATTCTCAGAGAAAATTGGGGATTTCTACGATTTTGGCTTAACGTCGACTCTGTGGATGCTATATTGCCGGAATTCAGCGGTTCTCAACACTTTATGCTCCGATTGAGTTTCGTCCTAGGGTTTATGTTCGGATTTTGCTCGCAATATCGGTAATATTCTTCCTATCTCCCATCTACAGATTTAGGACTTATTTCTTTCCATGAATGAGGAACATCCTGTGATTTTCATGTGAAAATTGTAGTTTCGTCTCATATCAACTTCAATTTCTAGTATTTTTTTTAAGTATGATTTTATAGTTTCATTGAAATTGTTAGCATGGCTAGTATTCATGATACTGTAGATCATACCACAACCTCCAATTCTGGAGGCTTCGTGACTTTTACCTTAGATCCTTCTCACCCTTTGTATGTCCGCCCTTCAGACAGTCCTGGTATTCAATTGGTTTCAATACCTTTTAATGGGACAGGTTTTGTTCTTTGGAGAAATAGCATGCTCACTTCCATATCTGCCGAAAATAAACTAGGGATCCTAGATGGGAGAGTTGCCCAACCTACCCCAAACTCACCCTATTTTCCTTATTGGGAAAGATGTAATGATATGGTGAAGTCATGGGTTATAAATTCTATATCAAGAGAGATTGCCACAAGTGTAATGTGCTTTAAGACTGCCAAAGAGGTCTGGAAAGACATAAATGAGAGATTTGGGCAGTCCAATGGGTCGAAATGTCTAAAAATTCAGAGAGAGATAAGTACAACTGTGCAAGGCTCTTAAGATATAGCTAACTTCTTTACTAAGCTTAGAAAGCTTTGGGATGAACTGAATTCATCTTATGTGGTACCTACATGTTCATGTGGAGCTCTTCCCAAATTCATTGAGGATCAACAGTTGTTTCAATTCCTCAATGGATTAAGTGAGTCTTATTCTACTGTCAAAAGCACCATCATGATGATGAGTCCCTTACCACCCATAAGTAAAGTATATCCCATCTTGCAACAAGATGAGAGTCAGAGAGAAACACCTCATGCTCCCAGTTTCACTAGTGATTCTGCTTCTTTTCTGGCCTCTCCCAACTCCTTCAATAACACAAACAAGAACTTCACTCAGAGAATCAATTTTGACTCCAAAAGGAATGCAAATTCTGTGTCCTGCAAGTATTGCAAGAAAACTGGACATACTGTGGACAAATGTTATAGGTTGCATGGTTTTCCTGCTGATTTTAGTTCACCAAGAACAAGAAGTCAGCATCTTGTGTCCAGACTGAAGTTCCTTATGTCCCTCCTTCTTGCTCTCTTGATGTTGCCTCCTCTGATAATTCAGCTCATGGTTTCACCTAGGAGCAATACCAACTTCTCCTGAGTATGTTTCAGCAAATTCAACTCTCTACTGGCATGTCTCCTGATATTTCCTCCACAAAAGGTTCTTCTTTTGCTCACTTTGCAGGTTTGTTTAATGCCTATGCTGCTGATTATCCTGTTTCTCATGCATGTGCATCTTCACATCTAGGTATACAACCTTGGATCTTAGATTCAGGAGCCACTAACCATATGACTCTACACAAACATCTCCTTCATAATCTCACACATTTACCTAAACCCTTTCTAGTTACTTTACCCAATAGATATAAAGTAAAAGTTATATCAACTGGTTCATTACATCGTAGACATGACATAATACTGGTGAATGTTCTGCTTGTACCTTATTTCCAATTCAATTTGATTTATATTCGTCAACTTATCACATAGTTGGATTGTATAGCAGTAATTACCAAAACCAATTGTCTTTTACGGGGCGGCCTTTCTCTGAAGAGGCCACTGGTAATTGGTAAGGCTGCTGGGAGATTATACTATCTACATCAGATGTTGATCTGTTTCCATCTTCTCTTGCTGCCTTTATAACAAATCCTAGTTCAGTTTCATGTAATTAGCCAAGTTCTATTACTCCTTGTTTCAATCAACCTTTACTTAGTGATAATTCTGTTTGTAATCAAATTGTTGTTGATTCTGCTTGTAATCAAACATCCACTATCAATAAAATGGACTTGCTTTGGCATCAAAGATTTAGTCACATACCTTTTCACAAAATGAGATCTATTCCTTATTTGTCTGACAAGTCTCTTCTAAACAATCTTTCCTTTGTTCAATCTGCCCAATGGCTAGACAACAAAGATTACCTTTTCATGACAATTTCATACAGTCTACTGCTCCTTTCTAACTTGTTCACATTGATATTTGGAGACCCTATAACACAAAGACATATAATGGGTTCAGGTATTTTCTTACTCTAGTAGATGATTATACTAGAGTAACCTGGACACATATTCTTTCTTGTAAGGGTAATGCTCTATCTATCCTTAAGGCATTTACATCCATGGTCAAAGTTTATTTTCATTAAAATGTCCATACTTTTAGGTCAGATAATACCTTTAAATTAGGGAATAGTACTGAAGCCATTAATTTCTTTGGAAATAAGGGTATTCTTCATCAAACAACCATTTCTCACACTCCACAACAAAATGGTGTTGTGGAAAGAAAACGCAAATACCTTTTGGAAGTGGCCACGGTTCTATTTCAGTCTAAGCTTCCTGTCAAGTTTTGGGGAGAATGCCTACTTACTACAACTTACCTTATCAATAGAATGCCCTCACCTCTTCTTCTCAACCTCTCCCCTTATGAGAAATTACATGGTAGTCCGCCTGCTTATGAACATTTAAAATCCTTTGGGTATCTTTGTTTTACAACATCTCCCAAGGTTGGCAGGGATAAATTTCAGTCAAGAGCTATTTCCTATTTATTTTTGGGTTACCCCTGTAGAAAAAAAAGGTTACAAGTTATTGAACCTTTCTAGTTCTTCTGTTTTTTGTTTTAGAGATGTAGTTTTTCATGAACATGTTTTTCGTTACAGATCTAACTCTTCTTCTCCTCCCTCTTTATTTCCTTCTGTTGAACAATCATTTACTGAATCCCCATCTCCAAATCCTCTCAATCCTTCTGCTACTCAAGACCTCTCTTCTTCTACTCCCAGTACTACTATGCCTCCTTTAACATCTTCTCCTTCTCCTCCCAGTCCTGTCATCTCCAACATTCAGTATCCCAACTCTACAATTCCTAGTCCACCCACTGAACCCACTGAACTTCCTTTACCTTCTCATAATTCTCTTCCTTTTAGAAATCTCTTAGAACAGTTAACAAACCTATCTACCTAAATGATTATGTCTGCAATTCTGCTTCACTTCCTGCTCCCTCCTTGGTTATTTTTAGTGAGCATCATATGCATGAGCCTCAGTTTTACCAGCAAGCATCATCAAACCCTGCATGGTAGGAGGCTATGCTACAAGAATTTAGGGCTCTTGAAGCAAACCAGACCTGGAACATTGTTCCTCTACCTCCCAACAAGAAAGCCATTCCTTGTAAATGGGTCTACAAGATCAAACAAAGAGTTGATGGCTTTATTGAAAGGTATAAGGCCAGGCTGGTCATTAGGGGTAATGCTCAAAGGGAAGGCATTGACTTCACTGAGACCTTCTCCCATGTGGTCAAATTGACCACCATTAAATGTATGCTAACCTTGGCTGTTAAGAGAGGTTGGATTGTTTTTCAACTTGATGTCAACAATGTCTTTCTCCATGGTGACCTAAGTGAGGAGGTTTACATGAAAGTTCCCCCAGGGCTTGACATCTCTTCTTCTTCCATATCTCCACCACTGGTTTGCAGACTTAAGAAGTCTCTCTATGGCCTAAGGTAGGCTTCTAGACAGTGGTTTTCAAAACTGTCTGAAGCCCTGCTATCTCAAGGCTACATTTCTAGTCAATGATTATTCTCTCTTCACCAAATCAACCTCTAGTTCTCTGGTGGTCCTTGTTGTATATGTGGATGACATACTCTTTTCTGGGGATGATGTATCAGAATTGATTTCCTTAAGGTCTTTCTTGGATTCTCAATTCAAGATCAAAGACCTGGGCACATTGCACCATTTTTGGGGGTTAGAAATTTCACAACATCCTCAAGGCTATCTCATGACTCAGCAGAAGTATGCCACTGATCTCATTGCTGAATTTAATTGCCAGCATTTCACTCTTGTTCTTACTCCCTTGGATTCTTCATCCAAACTGGTCTTAGACATGGGAGAACCCCTAACTGATCCCAGCACCTACAGAAGATTAATAGGTAAACTCAACTTCCTTCAACACACCAGGCCAGTTATCTCTTTTTCTGTACAGGACTTGAGCCAGTTTCTTCAAAAGCCTCAAATGCCTCACATGCAGGCTGCTTTACATGTCCTAAGGTATCTTATGAATGATCCAGCTCAAGGTATTCTACTGTCCAACAGTTCTGATTTTTCACTCCTTGGTTATTCTTACTCTGATTGGGCTGCCTGTGCTATCTCTCGCAAATCTCTCTGTTTTTTATAATTCTTGGAGGTAGCCTCATTTCATGGAAAAACAAGAAGCACCCACCATATCCTTGTCTTCAGCTGAAGCTGAGTACAGGGCCTTAAGGAAGACTATTTCTAAAGTTTCTTGGTTAGTTTGACTTTTGGGTGATCTTGGTCTGCCTATTGAGAGTCCTGTTCCTATTCACTGTGACAGTCAAGCTTCATTACACATAGCCAAGAATCTTATCTTCCATGAACGTACGAAACACATAGAGATTGATTGTCATTATCTACGTGAATGCCTGAATTCAGGCCTTATTTCTTTACATTTTGTTCCCAGCTCTGCCCAGCTCACAGACATCATGACTAAAGCTCTCCCTAGGCAGCCTTACTATGGTATTCTTCACAAACTTGGTGTGTTTTTACCCTCCAGCCTGAGGGGGGAGGGGGTGTTAACCAGGCCCAACAGGCCCAACACAAGCAACAGCTGCACAACCCAACAGTGTCAACAAAGCAGCCCATCAAGCCAACCTTATGTACATAGCTTTTATCAATTTTTTATTTCATTCATTTTTATTTTTGGGACATCATATATATTGTTGTATTTTGGTAACGAGTCATTAGAATATTCCAGACAAAAGTAATAAAGGGGCTCTTCTTTCTCTTTCTAAACGATTTAGGAACTCTAGGGTTCCATCTTCTTTCATCTTCATGCAATGAATTCTGATGATGTTAACAAGTATTAACAAGTACTCAGTAGTATTTTCTTTTCCCAACAAAGGGTAGCTTCAAATTTCATCAATAGGTCCTCCCTTACTCATCCTTTAATAAAAAACACACATAACACGTACAAATTGACTACTCGAACGCCCCATTACTCACTCCAAAAGCCGCCTTTCTCCATATCCTATTATCTTGGACCAAGCCCAATGCCAGATCCAGGTCCCTCCATTTACAATTTAATTAAGTTCTTAGAAAAAGTTAATGCAAAGAACAGTGACTAAAATATTACAATCTCCATCATAACAAGTTAAATCTATTGACCCATGTTCATGAAAAAAATAGGCGAGGCAAATAAGGTTGTGGAAGAGAATATCGGAAATGCTCTTTTCGTAGCTTTTGAAATCAAAATCTCGTTTCTTTTCTTTTGTTTAACTATATTTGGATAACTATATATGGATTCCTACAATCAGATCAATGCGTACAACCTTCTCGCCACGCAATTCTTAGGCATATATATCGGCTCTGACACCCTTTCCCATCAACTAGGAGCTCCAGCTACAAAACAACCTGCTTTCATTTTATTCTCATAATTTTAATTCTGTATCATCGGCTATGATCAAACTAGAATTTTTGCTTTGTCAGCTTATTCTCAACTAAAAAGCTTAGTCTCAACTAAAATAAAACATGATTAATTAGTAGTTTCAATGTTGAAGTTGTCAAATATCTCACATCGGTGGTTGCCACTTTTGTTTGGGAATTTTTCCCTATAAAAATAGGCCTAATGTTTAGGATTTATACACACCTTTCATTTGTCTTCTCATCTCCTTAAGGCATTTGTATCTTCTCTCTTTAATATTATTTTACTTATATTTTGGAGTGGAATAACATATTGGTTGTGTCCAAGGAAGTAGACAAAATTGGTCGAACCTCATAAATTTTGGTGTTCCTTTTATTGTTGTATTATTGTCTTATTTATTATTTAGTGGATGCCATAATTTTTGGTATAGTAGTTGTGACTCATTCACACTATATATATTTGGCTTCTGCAACATTGGTATCTGGGCCAATGTACTGTCTAAGTATGCTCTGTGGTTGCAGCATAGTTTGATCTTCCACATTAGAAAAGAAAAAAATTTGATTTGTGTTGTCAGTTATTAAATAATATTTGTGTCAAAAATGAGAGACAATAAACAAGAAGAATCTACATCAAGTGTCAATAATACGTCATCGTTGACATCTTCGCTTATGGCAAGAATTGTGTC